GGCCGTACTGCGCCATACCGCGCTGCGCCGGGCCGGGCCAGGCTGTGCCAGGCCATACTGCGCTGCGCCGGGCCGTACTGCACCATATTGTGCTGGGCCAGGCTGTACTGCGCCATACTGCACCATGCCGGGCCAGGCCAGACCGTACTGCACCGGGCCAGGCACTGCCAGGCCATACTGCGCTGTGCCATGCCATGCCAGGCCATACTGCGCGATACTGCGCCGGGCCAGGCCATACTGCGTCGTGCCAGGCCGTACTGCGCTGTGCCATGCCAGGCCGTACTGCATCGTGCCAGGCCATACTGCGCTGTGCCATGCCAGGCCAGGCCGTACTGCGCCGGGCCAGGCCGTACTGCATCGTGCCAGGCCATACTGCGCTGTATTGGGCCGGGCCGGGCCAGGCCAGGCCGTACTGCGCCATGCCGGGCTGTACTGCACCATACTGCGCCAGGCCGGGCTGTATATACTGCACCGTGCCGTGGTGCGCTGTGCCGTACTGTATGTACGGCACCGTGCCAGGGTGCACCGTGCCGTGCCACGCCATACATGCTGCGCCGTGTTGCGGCATGCTGCGCCACGCTCTACGTGCTGTGTCACGCCGTGCCATACGTGCTGTGCCGTGCCATACGTACGGCGGCGTGCAGTGTGCTGGGCCACGCCGTACGTACTGTACTGTGCCGCGGTGCACCGTGCTGCATCGTGCACCGTGGCGTGCCGTGTGTACGGCACTGTGCCGCGGTGTGCTGTGCTGTGCCACGCCATACATACTGCACCGTACCGTGGCGCGCCGTGGTCTGCCGTGCTATACGGGCCGCGCCATCCCTTGGTGCGCCATACTGTGTTACATGTACTGCGCCGTGCCGCCGTGCCGTGCCACGCCGTGTGTACTGCACCGTGCCACGGTGCGCCGCGCCGTACTGTGCCATGCTATATGTTCTGCACCGTGCCGTGGCACGCCATACTGTGCCGTGGGGTGCCGTACCATATACGCTGCGTGGTGCCAGGGTGCCCTGTGCCGTGCCGTACGTGCTGCTCTGTGCCGTGGCGCGCTGTGCCGTGCTGTGCCACGCTGTCACAGCCCCGGGGATGCCGGGGTGATGAGGAGGGGGTCTATAGGGGATGAGGAGGGGTCTATAGGGGAGGCTGCCTACATATAGGGGCAGTTCCCCTATAGGGGAGGCTGCCTATGGGGCTGGGCCGTGGGGAGGGGCTGGGCTGCGGGAGGTATATGTATATAGGGGGGACACGACGTGGAGAGCGGGGCTGTGCTGTAGGGCCCTGCGTGTGTGTCAGGCTGTATAGGGACGGGCTGTCTATAGGGACGGGCTGTCTATAGGGGCCGGCTATATATAAGGGTGGGCTATCCAGGGGATGTGGTATGTAGGGGGTGGGCTGTATGGGGGGGCGGGCTGTCCCGGGGTAGGGCTATATAGGGGGTGGGCTCTACGGGGTGCGATATGTCGGGGTGCGATATGTCGGGGGCTGGGTGGTTAGGGGTAGGGGGGG